TCATTGCCTTCCTTAAATTTAGATGAAGTGCTTTATTGACTGAAAAAAGAGACTTTGACAATGTATCGGGCATAAAAAAGTTTCAATAGAAAGTTATAATAAGAAGGAATGAAATAAAAAGCAAAAAGGAAGCGAAATGAAAATTAGAAAATTTCTGAGATTATATTATAATGGTGAAAAATTAGAGAAGGCCGTATACATTTCTTACCATTACCACAATTGGAACTCGTCAGTACGACGATTGTGGTAACTGAAGTTAGTTGCGTCAAGCTGCGTCGATTCATTCGGCGCATAACAGTCGTCTCAGTGGATCACGTGGACTGTGAAGCGCGGCAGAGCGTTGAGACTTTTCATGGAGAGCAGAAGGGCCTATGTGAAATATATTAAACGATATTTTACAGCCACGCTGACCTCATCGTTGGCAACGCTGGAAGGTACTGAAGCATTCGAAGCCTCTCTACTTGGTTCGGCCGATGAGGTGGTACAAGAAAGGATCTCGGACGATGAGCTGATTCTCATCAAAGGCCCAAAGGCCCGAACCGCCTCATCGATCATACTGCGGTTAGACATATTTTGCTTTTTCTTCGCACGAAAAAGTGGCCACCACCTTGAAATTGAGCGAAAGAGCCCGTTTTGAGGGGACCACTGATGATTGCTTTGTCAGCGAATGGTTGCCTTGTCTGCGCTACTCTGTTTCTGAGTAAACCCAGCTCTCACAGAAAGTGGGATGCGGGATCACGAGAAAAGAGGGGGATCCTTTTTTTTTAATTTTCTCTGAATTCTGAAGCGAACCGGTAGGTTTCAGAGGGCCAAACGATGTGATGCTGGATGAAATGGAACGATCCGTGCATGATGCGCTTTGTGTTGTTCAACGTGTGCTTGAAAGTAAGAAGCTGGTTGTTGGAGGTGGAGCAGTGGAAGCTGCTCTTAATGTCTATCTGGAAGCATTTGCAACCACGCTGGTGAGTTTTTTGATGAACTTTTTCAGGTATTCCTGACTGATGAATGTGAAATTCTGAAATTCCGGTCTTTCCGGTGCACTTTTTTTCTCCTTGCTTTTTTATCTGAAAAAAAAAACCAGATTCTGAAATCTTATCTTGTATTTTCGTAAGTTCCGGGACAATTACAGTGGTTTTATTCGAAATTGGCATGGACGCTGGGCTAGTAGCGAAAAAATTACTCATGAAGTTGTTGATGGTTTTTTGTTCTCTTCGGAGATTTCAATCCCCTGTTTCTGGCCTTGAGTGGTGTCAGTTTACGGTCAAAGGATTTTGATATACAGTGGATGTGTTCTTGCCAGCTGTCCTAAACGCCTTTTTTTTTGTCGAAATTTGTTCCCAAAGTTGTCAAAATCGAGTTTTTCTGGATTTTGATTATTTTTGTTCTGGTTCCAGTCGAGCCGTGAACAGTTAGCCGTTGCCGAATTTGCAAACTCGTTGCTCGTTATACCGAAAGTGTTGGCTTCGAATGCAGCCAAAGATTCGACGGAACTGGTTGCAAAACTTCGAGCTTTTCACAACAAATCGCAGCAAGTGAAGGAACTTGCACACCTCAAATGGTTTGTATTTTAATGTACAGCGAAGCGTCTTTTCTAAATTATCGTAGTATCGATTGATAAGGCAGCATTTTCATTTCTGCTGTGTTATCAGTTCTCTTACATTGAAGTGAGACATGGAATACCACACTTGCTGAAGAACTGGTAGCAGTGACCTTTTGAGCTTTGAACTGGCAGTTGGTAGTTAGTATTGAGTTGTGTCACTTGTTCAGAGAAGGGCAAGGTTTCCAATATATGACTTGATGGACCGAAACATTTCTTACCATTATAATAATTTTATTAAGGCATTTTATAACATTTACTAATTCCTTAATATTATTTGCTTTTGTCTTTTTACAACTTTAAAATATTTTTCTCTTTTCTGTTGCGGCAACATTACAAAGGCAGTTAGTGCCACAAAACGGAAACAAATAAGAACATAGGAGCAAGGCATGTTTTTAGGGTTTCCATTTTGGGCAATAGCTGCGCGGGATATTAGAAATCGGAGTATTTCAGGGCTGGCCTCGATTTGGAGAATGGTGAGATTCGTGACAACCGGGATGCGGGTGTTTTGGAGCCACTAGTGAGCAAGCTGAAAAGTCTGAAGTTTGCAACTGAAGCGGCGATAACGATCCTTCGGATCGATGACTTGATCAAGCTCGAAAAGCAGCAACCGAGACATGATGAGCATGATGATATGTGATTGGTCGCCTTTCTGGACAATTTTTGTTAGAAAAATTTATCCCCCTTGTTCCTCCATCTCCCACTCTCACCCCAATTTGCCCGTTTTCGGTTTAGCAACTCATTCATGAGGAAAAAAAGTGCAAAATTGTCGAAAATGTTTGTAAACGAGAGCGTTTGAGGTCACCTTTCTTCTTCCTTTTTACCTGTTGAAGGTATCGAAATCGAGCATTTGAGGGAAAATCCGAAAAATAGTTAAAGCCGCGCTGAACATTTAGGCGCGAGAGCGTTTTTTTGAGAGTCGGAAGTCTTTTTCGAAAAAGTTATGTCATTTTATTGATGCGTCAACAAATTTTAATGTTTAACACAGTTGTTGATTTTTTCCCTCCACCAAGCCTAAACACTTTATTGTTATAAATGCTTTTGCTGCTAAATTCCAGCACTGTGCAACTGGTGTGTTTGTTTCATGTCACAATAAAACCGTTTGTCTGATTGTCATTCATCGAAGTCGAAAGTCAAAACCCCCTTCGTGCCCGTTTCGTATGAGAAGCAGGAGCACTCAGGAAGCAGCCCAGGGCAGTGCAGCAGCCTACAACTTGCAATAGGATAACATAGCACAAACGGACTCAGGGTGGCCTGTTGGAGGGGCGAAAAGGGGGAGGGGAAAGGGGAGTGATTTTGGAGATCCCATACTTATAGGTTTCGCCATCCCAAAATAGTTTTGCACAA